TGAAAACATTTTTTATGTTATGGAGACTTTTGTTACTTGCTTATTCTTTGATTCCCTGGGCTAGGATCTCAATACATAGCCAGACCAGGCCAGAACTCATTAGGTAGCCCAAACTGGCCTCAAACTTCCATTCATGCTCCTGCCTCAAGCCTTCAGAGAGCTGAGATGACAAGTGTGTGCTACCATGCATGGTGACTATGAGATTTTAAAGTAAATTTAAGTTTTTTAGTTTGTTCTCTACTCAATCAATAGCTCTAACGACCGACAGACTTACAAATTACATGACGATATTTTGACCAAAATATGTATATATGATATGTATGACACTAAAACCTGTCAGATTTGGAAAATCAACTTTTTATTTGTTAATCATTATTATTGTTATTATTATTATTATTATTATTAATTTTAGTTTTTCGAGACAGGGTTTCTCTGTATAGTCCTGGCTGTTCTGGAACTCACTCTGTAGACCAGGCTGGCCTCGAACTCAGAAATCCGCCTGCCTCTGCCTCCCAAGTGCTGGGATTAAAGGCGTGCACCACAACTGCTCGGCTATTATTATTATTATTATTATTATTACTATTATTATTATTGAGTCAGGGTCACATTATGTAGGCCTGGCTCATCTAGAACTCTCTACATAGACCCGGCAGGCCTTGAACTCACAGCGATCCACCAGTCTCTCCCTCCCAAGTGCTGGGATTAAAGGCATGCAACAATCTCACACCTGACCCTGGAAAATTGAATGTCTTTTATTTATACTTCTGTTTCATGCATGCAAACAAAATATCTTGGTCATACCCATCCATCCCCCACCTCCTCCCTCCCATTCCCCCCAGGCACCTCCAACAGGTAGAAAATTAACTTTTCAAACAGACAGTGGTCCCTTGAAGCTCTCAAATGCCATCACCTGCCTTCAAGCCAACCTTTACACCAGCGTCTCTCCACGTCATCCTGGCCCCTAACTTCTTCATCTCTGTTTTCATTATCTTACTTGCTTCCTATCACCCATCAAATATATCAGTCTGGACTTCTGAAGGACTCAAAACAACCAGCCTGTTGGACATGGGAGGGACCTGAATAAGGATGAGATGTTGGGACTCCTACTGTCCCTCAAGGGTACTGAGTCCCAAGAGCTGATTCAAAAAGAGAAGGCAGCTAGGTTCCCATCAAGCTACTGTCTAAAGAACAAAGGTTGACAGGCCCTTCAATCAATCATTCCAAAGGTAGGTGGCCTTGGACAAGATAGAAGATAACCTTGGAAAACCACAGGAGGTTATGCAAGGTGGCAGAGTCCTGGCTGCAGTCCCTTTGCATTGTCCCTGCAGATCCTTCTGAGTATCATCTGTCCACACATCTGCAAGATCCTGGTCAAATGGACCATCTCAGGGCAAAACGTTTTCCCTGATATGTGGCCACAGAGTCAAATCATGACCATAAGTGCTGCACAGAGAGACTCCCCCACCTGTTCTCTAACGAGAAGCATCTTTGCCTTTGCTCCGGAGCAGAGATAACCTGAGATACCTTGATAGCCTATGCAAACAGCAGCAGCAGAGCAGGAGACAGGGGAAGCACGAAGGTCACCTTGGGCTACGGCTGCGAGTGCACATTGAGTATCTAGAAATCCAGACTGCAAACGAGTTGCAAAATTGCAAACCTATTGCCTTTTAAGCTGTCCTGATTCCCGTTTTAATGCCGATGTGACTAAGATTTTATCACGACTGAAAGCATCTTTCCTAAAATCACTGAATCAGTAGAGAGCTATTTTGAAGACGCCTCCATGTTCTTCCTTATCTGGCTGGTTAGTTTCTGTTAGTTTTCTAAAACCATTTATTTATGTATCCATTCATTCATTCACTCATTTATTGGGAGAGGGGTGTGTGTATACTACAATGCACATGTGCGATCAGAAGAAACCTTTCAGGAGTTGGTTCCCCACTTTGTGTAGCCCAGGCTAACCTAGGACTCCTGATCCTCCTGCCTCTAGCTCCCAAATGCTGGGAATACAGGCCTCCAACACCACCCTTGGTTCTGGTTAACTCCTGTTCAGGGTGGGTCACACACTGGTCTTCAGTCTGTCACACTGTCCTTGTAATGCTGCTGGTGAGGTAGCTTATGGCTCAACTCTCATGTGTGTGTGGTGCTCTTTAGTTTCTACTGCTGTGCACAACCCTAAAGGGAGTTCCTGAGTGACTACAGTAAGACAGGAATGTCCCCTTGTGGGTCTACCATTCACTGCTATAAAGAAAGCGATCCACAAAGCTTCCCCACACATACACATATACACACCCTGTGATTCTAGACTCAGAATAGCTCAGAAAAAAAGGGCTTCTGTTCTTTTATTCTTCAATAGTTTCACACAGTATATATATATATATATATTTAGTTTTTCGAGACAGGGTTTCTCTTTATAGCCCGGGCTGTCCTGGAACTCACTCTGTAGACCAGGCTGGCCTCGCTCGAACTCAGAAATCCACCTGCCTCTGCCTCCCAAGTGCTGGGATTAAAGGTATGCACCACCTCCGCCCGGCTTACACAGTATATTTTAATGTCCCTTCCCCATCTGAGAGAGGAGGCAACTTCGTTCATGTTCCTTTTCTCTCTTAAAAGACAGAAACAAAACAATCCACCAAAAAGCATGGAGTCCAAAAACCAAGGGTTGGCTCATGGGGCCTGCCCAGAAGTGTGCTTGACATAGCCAGTGTCACTCCATAGAAGATTTTCCTCCTCTCAACATTTGTTATTTACAATCACTTCTTCACTAAGGGTGGGACTTCTACCTCCACTCCTTCTCCTTCGTTTCTAGTTTGATCTTGTGCAGGTGAGTCTCTGTGAGTTCACGGTAATTAACGCAGACACACAACTGGACAAGGTAGAGAGTGGCAGACTTTGGAGTGCTGGGTCCAGAATGGGATGACTTTTATGACACCCCCCCCCAACTCACGAGTCAGGGATCGATGCAGAAGAGGAGGCCAAAGAATTTGAAAGAGCCAGAGGTGGGAGACAATGTTAAGGAAACAGCATTTCCCAGACACAAAAGGTAGATGCATATGAACTCAGAGAGACTGTGGCTGAGACCACTTAAGGCAGCCTGTTCCGGTCTCTTCTGGCTCCTTGTAGAAACTACAACCTCTTCCTGAAGGCTAGAGCACTTCTCTGAGATGAAAGCATCAATAAGATCCTTAATCTTGGTGCCACATGCCATTTATTCCAGAAGCAGCAGAGACGGGCAGATCTCTGTGAATTTGAGGCCAACACAGTCTACATAGTGAGTTCTAGGGCAGCCAAAACTACCTAGTAAAACTCTGTCTCAAATTAATTAAGTAAGTAAGTAAGTAATATACAAATTGAATTAATCCCTGTAGTTGCATATGGCAGTCCACACCTATAACCCCAGTACTTGGGAGGTTGGAGTAGGAGGACTGTGGTTTGGAGGCTAACCTGGGGTACATCAAGAGTCCTTGTCTCAAAAGAAAGGAACTCTTAGGATGATTTGGACATTTTGGTGCTAAATTGTTCCAGGATCCTGAAATGGAAACAGAGAGAGAAAGAGGTGGGGCTGCTGAGTGTGGACAGATTGCTGAGGTAGTATCTCAAAATGTCTTCTGCTAGAAAACTTCCCTACGATGCGGCTGGAGAGATGGCTCAATACTTACGAGCGCTGGCTGCTCTTCCAGAGAATCCAGTTTCAATCCCCAGGACCCGAATGGCAGTTCACACCTGTCTATAACTGCAGTTCCAGGGGAATCTGATATCCTCACACAGACACACATGCAGGCAAAACACCAATGAACAGAAAGCCCTCAGATCAATCCCTGGCATCCCACAAACCAGGCATGGTGAGCCTAGTACTCTGAAGGTAGAGAACAGAGGATCAGAAGTTCAAGATCATAACCCCCCACTGTATATCAAGTTCCAAGCCAGCCTCTGCTATATGAGACCCTGTCTCAGAAGAAGCAAGTCAAATCCTGTGGAGAAGCACAGTGGCCGTGACCCTCATGAAGGGCAACTCCGTGGGATGCCCGAGTATAGAAGCAGCTTTGAGCATTTCCTGTCTAGAACCTGTAGTGAATCTCTTTCGGTCCCATCTCCTTTAGCTCACGGCTTGCTGGACCACACTTCTGGTTTTTAGGTATTTTTTCATGTTTTGTTTTGCTTTTTAAAATGTCCCGTGTTTCTCTTTCAAACACCTCTTTCTTGTCTTCCCCGATAAGGACCTTCCCAAGAGCCTGGTACTAAGTCTATGTTTCAGCTTTTTGGGATAGGACAAGCCAGACGTTTATGCTCAATAAACAAATACAGGTTTTGCTATAAGAGACCACAACTGAAAATGTTAAATAACAGCAGCAATAGCAGCTGAGGCTGATGTAAAGCTTAACCTATGTCAGGCATTGTTCTAAAGGCATTTACAGTGTTAATGAATCCTATCCTCACAACACCGGATTCATGGACTGTTATCCATTTATAGAATATGCAGCCTACACTGTCCTAGACTTCTACATCAGGACCAAAGGGAGGGGCTGAGGAGCTATCTCAATCAGCAAAGTGCTTGCCACACAGGCATGAGGACTTGAATTTAATCCCGGAACTCATGAAAAACAAAAACACAAAACTTGGTGTCGGGGCCATCGAAACCGCTCGATGGGTAAATGATGGGTAGCTGCCAAGTCTGATGACCTCAATTTGTTCTTCTAGGAACCGCACAGTGGAAGGAGAAAACCAACTCGCCAAGGTTGTCCTCTGACCTGGACATGTTTGCCTTGGCATGTGCATGCAAAGAGAGAGAGAGGAGAGAGGGAGGGAGGGAGAGAGGGAGGGAGAGAGAGAGAGGGGAGAGAGACAGAGAAAGAGAGAGAGAGAGAGAGAGAGAGAGAGAGAGAGAGAGAGAGAGAGAGAGAGAGGTGTAATAAAAAGGGTTTTCTGAATTGTCCAGGATTTACTGACCATGTTACAACCTCAGCGAGTAAACACAGTAAAGGTGATATTTTCTTTCCCACCAGGCACATTCAAAAGTGTGGCATAACTACGACAAAAACTTCCGCCCTCATCAGAAGGGTTTGCTCTCCATCACCTTGGGCTCCCATTGGATAGAACCAAACAGGACAGAAAACATGGAGGACGCAATCAACTGCCAGCACTCCATGTCTTCTGTGCTTGGATGGTTTGCCAACCCCATCTACGGGGACGGCGACTACCCTGAGTTCCTGAAGACGAGCGCCATGATCCCCGAGTTCTCTGAGGCAGAGAAGGAGGAGGTGAGGGGCACGGCTGACTTCTTTGCCTTTTCCTTCGGGCCCAACAATTTCAGGCCCTCGAACACCGTGGTGAAAATGGGACAAAATGTATCACTCAACTTAAGACAGGTGCTGAACTGGATTAAACTAGAATATGATAACCCTCGAATCTTGATTTCGGAGAATGGCTGGTTCACAGATAGTTACATAAAGACAGAAGACACCACAGCCATCTACATGATGAAGAATTTCCTCAACCAGGTTCTTCAAGGTTGGTTACACTTTGGCTCAATTTTTCTTATAAATTTGTGTCTATATGTTTGCTTGTGTGAGTCTGTGCCTCATGTGTATAAGCGCTCTTGGAAGACACAATAATACATCTGGTAACCTGGAGCTTGAGTTATGGGCAGTTGTGAGCCCGTGACTTTGTGCTGGGGACCAAACTCAGGTCCTCAAGGAGAGTTGTAAGCTTCGGTAAGTGCTGAGGTATCTCTCCGACGCCCCTCAAGATTTAAGTAGTTACCTTGAGTGTGTGACTGTTGTTAGGTTTTTAAATTGTTCATTGTTGACTGAAAGAAACATGTTTGCGAGGGAAAGGGTTTCTCATAACTCAGATCAGCTTTGAGCTTCTTCTCAAATGCTAGGATTACAGACATTTACCGCATCCAGCCACGTCATTCTTTATAGCAGACATAGTCCCTGTGGAGGTACGTTTAAAGCTTTCCATCAAGAGTGACTTATTGAAATCATGACTTCATCATCTCAACATGACTGAACCATGAAAGGTCTAAGGCAAAGCCGGGCTGCTTCTGCTCTTGGAGATTTCTGTTTACCTTAGGTCACCTCATTCACTATCCAGTCAGTGACACCTACAGTGACACCTACAGGCTGACGGAAAGGATGAGGCCAAAGACAACTCACGTTGTGTCCCCATCAGAGCTGGGCTCCATTGTACCTGACTATGACTCCTCTGGATCTTTCTCCAGCTGTGCAGCTCCCTTGAGAAATCTTAAGTATGGGGGCTGGGGAGATGACTCGGTGGGCAAAGTACTTGCTTGCTATGCAAGCAAGGGAAACCTGAGTTTGACCAACATAAAACAGGTAGATGCAGAACTGGTAAGATGCCTCAGCCAGCAAAGGCACTTGCCACAGGCCAGATCCCTGAGTTCAATCCTGGGACTCACACACAGGCACCACACACACATATACACACAAACGCAGGTGCACTACACATACCATATACACACACTCACCCACATGTATACACTTATACACATCTACCACACACACATGCACCACACCACAAACACACACACACAAACACACGCACCACACATACACACACTCACCACATACATACACTCACCTCCCCCCCCCACACTTCCTCTACTATAAAACATAAAATGTAACTTAAGTCTTAAATGTAGAGAGAAGTCCCAGCTCCTGCAGGAAAGAGACTTTAGGAAGAGTTTTTAGAAAGAGCAAGTCCCTCTCCCAGTCTCCTCACCCACCCAACTCTACAAAAAGAAACAGCTTAGAACACAGCCACACCCAGCCCTAGGCCACATGAACAGGAAAGGAGATGAAGGAAGTGTGGCTCATAGAACACTTACATACAGGCCCCTAGGTCGAGTGTCATTTGCTTGGGCAGAAGGGGTCTGTCTGTTCCACCCTTCCTTCCTCATGACACCACACACCAAGGGACCAGAACCACAAGTTGCTGAGATACATTTGTCTTTTGGAATTTCTTGTCATAGTTTCCTACCTTTCTTTCAAAGAAGGATCTTCTATTTTTTTTTTCTTTTTGAAGATTATGTATCACTGCTCTATCTGCATGTACACTTGTGTGCCAGAAGGGGGCATCAGATCTCATTATAGATGCTTCACCATGTACTTACTGAGGGTTGAACTGGGGCCCTCTGAAAGAGCAGTGCTCTTAACCATCTCTCCAGCCCCTGGATTTTCTACCTTTTAGAAAAACAATGGGGTTTTTGGGGGTTTTTTTGTGTTTTTTTTGTGTGTGGTGTTTTGGTTTGGTTTGGTTGTTCAAGACAGGGTTTCTCTGTGTAGCTCTGGCTGTCCTGGAACTCACTCTGTAGACCAGGCTGGCCTCGAACTCAGAAATCCACCTGCCTCTGCCTCCCAAGTGCTGGGATCAAAGGCGTGCGCCACCACTGCTGCCCAGCTTAGAAAAACAATGTTAATAATAATAAGATCCCAAAATGCAGAGATGAGGCATTTCTCTGAGGGAAATAAAAGGGTTTTTGTTTGTTTTAAGAACAATGGTTCAAATGGGAGATGAGGAGATGAGGAGATGGCTCAGCAGTTGAGAGCGCTGTCTGCTCTTGCAGAGGTCCTGGGTTCAATTCCCAGCACCCCAACCCTAACCCTATCCACCCACATGGCGGCTTATGACTGTCTGTAACTGAAGTTCTACTTAATTTGATGCCCTATTAGGCCTGCTTGGATACACACACAAAGGTAGCTCACAGATAAACACACAGGCAGAACACTCCTATGCACGGAATAAAATTAAAGTGATAAAAAATGTAAAATGATTCAGGGCTAATTTCAGTTTTTATTGTAGATCAGGTTGGCCTTGAATACAGATATCTGCCTGCCTCCACCCCAAGAATGCTGGGATCAAAGTCATACACCACAACACCTGGCTCCCAGTCAGTTTTAAAGCTGAAAAAGTCCTTAGAGAACATCCTTTCCAATATTTTCCTTTGCAAATGAGGTAACTGAGGCTCTGAACCTTGCCCAACAGCTCCTGCCTGAGACGCAGCAGGACCTGGCCTTGGGCCTGTTGCCCTTCAGCCCAGCCACCTCTCACACTACTTCCATGCCTTCTGGCTACATTTGCTGAGACTTCCTGAGAGCTGCTATTTCAGTCCCTGAAGGACAATTTCACAGAATGGACAGTTGTCCATTTCACAGACAGGAACCAGCCCAAACTAGGAATGAGAAACTCTAAGTTACCAGTCAGCATCTATATATATCCCAAGAGGCTCTGAAATTGCCATGCCCCACAACACAGATCTGCACACTTAAATATCACTCCCCCACCTCCGTTTTTTTGTTTTTTTTTTTTTGTTTGTTTGTTTTTGTTTGTCAAGACAGGGTTTCTCTGTGTAGTCCTGGCTGTCCTGGAACTCACTCGGTAGACCAGAGACCAGGCTAGCCTCGAACTCAGAAATTTCCCTGCCTCTGCCTCCCAAGTGCTGGGATTAAAGGCGTGCGCCACCACCACCTGGCCTCACCTCCGTTTTTTAAAAATTTGAGACAGGGTCACATTATGTAGCTCTGGATGTCCTGGGACTCAATATGTTGACCTAGCCAAACTTGAACTCAGAGATGAAGTCTCTGCCTACTTCTGCTTCCTGAGAGTTGAAATTAATTAAAGTCATATACCATCCGTCATATCCTGCTAAACAATGTGGTTAAAAATGTTTAACTATCAGGAAGAATGTGTTTAATGAGATCTTTCAACCATCACCCCCCAGTGTAGGGAGTGCATACTGTTGATTTATTTTGCACGTCGGACGCACGCAGAAGTCAGAGGACAACTGCAGAGACTTGGGTCTCTCCTTCCCTGCAGGTCTCTGACTGAAGTTGTCAAGCTTCGTAGTGGGTGCCTTTACTGATGCAGCCATTTTGCTGGCCCCAAACCAACGATTTTTGGTTGATTTAAAAGGCCTGATATTTAGGAAAAGCGTTCCTTTTTGTAATCTGCTGTGTCCTGGAGCTTTGTAAATGAGCTAGGATGTTTAGACCTCTGAAAAATCTCTGCTTCCTTTTCTCTTTGCAGCAATAAAGTTTGATGAAATACGCGTGTTTGGTTATACGGCCTGGACTCTGCTGGATGGCTTTGAGTGGCAGGATGCCTACACAACCCGTCGAGGGCTGTTTTATGTGGACTTTAATAGTGAGCAGAAAGAGAGGAAACCCAAGACCTCAGCTCATTACTACAAACAAATCATACATGACAACGGTTTCCCTTTGAAAGAGTCCACGCCAGACATGAAGGGTCAATTTCCCTGTGACTTCTCCTGGGGAGTCACTGAGTCTGTTCTTAAGGTAAGTGGCTCCTTCTAAATTAACCACACACCAGGGGAGATAGTATACAATATGTTTTTACAAGTGTTATGTATAAGGATATCCTAGTCATTGTTCTATTGCTGTGAAGAGACATCATGACCACAGCAAGTCTGCGGTCTTCAGTTGGGGCTGGTTTACAATTTATCGTCATGGTGCAGGAAGCATGGCAGTGTGCAGACAGACATGATGCTAGAGAGGTATCTAAGAGTCCTACATACAGAGACAATGGCAGCAGGAAGAAACTGAGACACACTTCCTCCAGCAATGCCACACCTACTCCAACAAGGCCACACCCACTCCCACAAGGCCACACCTCCTAATAGTGCCATTTCCTATGAACCTATGGAGGCCATTTTCTTTCAAACCATCACAGATGCTTTGCTTGCATATATGTCTGTCTGCTGACCACAAAGGTCAGAAGAGTGCATTGAATGCCCTAGGATTAAGGATATATGGTTATATTAAGGATATATATATGTATAGGATATATGTGTGTGTATGGTGTGTGTGGTGCATATTGCAGTACATGCGGAGGTTAGAGGAAAAATTGTGGAGTTAGTTCTTTCCCTCTACCTTTTATGGGTTTGAGAGATTGAACTCAGGTGTCCAAGCTTACTGAGTAAATGCTTCCCCCTCTGCGCCATCTCCCCCACCTGAATCCACTATTTGTTTGTTTGTTGGTTTGTTTGTTTAGGTTTTTCAAGACAGAGTATCTCTGTGTAGCCCTGGCTGTCCTGGAACTCACTCTGTAGATCAGGCTGGTCTCGAACTCTAGAGATTCGCCTGTCCCTGCCTCCTGAGTGCTAGGATTAAAGGCGTGCCCAGAGAATCCACTGGTTTTTATTATACAAAATAGCATGTTTCAGTATCAGCTCGTCATGTGTGTATAAAATGCACTGTGGTCTTTTTTTACCTCCACATTGTATCCCTTACCCTCCTCCTAACGGCCTTTTCCCACTTGGGGTGCACCATCTTTATGTGGTCTGGTCTCTCTCACATGCATTGTCTACAGCTAGTGTTTTCCGGAGGTTGTAAAACACGGTGCATTTTGTTTGATCTTGCCTTGTTTTGTGGCAAAAATGACCTTTTGTGAATATCTTTTCAACTATACTAAGATCCTCTAAACTTTTCAAAACACTGGAGCTGGCCTAGACTGGGAAGACGGCTCAAGTAATTCATTATACACGGGTTGAACTTCCAGCTCACATGACCGATGCTGTCTGAGTTTAATGTTCTAGATTACTGGTTGGCAGATGGCAAATGGGCAGTAATATGACTTTGTAATTAGAATATGAAAGATGACACATGAAAAAACAATTAGAGGGAAAATATTTACCAAGAGTTAATTATTAGTTTTCCAGGTACATTTAAATTCACTCACAGGTGGGGAAAGTACTTTAGCACAAGTACAGAATTTTTCCTTGCTCTAATTATCTTGAATTTGGAAGTGTTTTTCTTAGGTCTTTTGTTTCATTTTACTTTGTCTTGTTTCTGTTTTTTTGAGGCTGAGTTTCCTCTGTGTACCCCTGGCTGTCTGGTTTCCAGTTGAGACACTGTCTTCTCTGAGTGGCTCTCTAGTCCTTAGACTGCACCTGGGAAACTAGAAACACACGACTATCCCCGTATGGTTGTGTGGCCCAAACTCAAAGAGGAAAATGTGGGGCCGAGGCTGTAGTTTAGTTTGTACAATGGCTGCCTAGCACGCAGAGGCCCTGGGTTTGATCCCGGTGTTGCATTAGGTGAGGTAGTGGCATATTACCTGTAACCCTGCGCTTGGGAAGAAGGAAAAAGAAAAGCAGGAATTTCAGGTCATCTTCAGGTACTTATTAAGTTTAGAGCTAGCCTGGGCTGTAGTCACCTACCCCTCAGCCCCACCCCCACCCCAAAAAGAGGGAGAAAGGAAAACTAAAGGAAAAGTAAGACAGAAAAGTCCATGACTCTCCAAGGTGGAAAGCCAGGGAGAACAAAAGAGCAACACACCTTCAGGATTTGGGCTGAGTTCACTCGTTCCCCCTCATAACCGAAGCAACTTGCATAGAGAGAACATCCCACAGTCTTCCTGTGGAGCAAGCGCTGTGCTCACAGACACACGGTGGAAGAGACACTGTGTGAAAATGTGATTTTCTTGAACCTTCTTCCTCCATTTTATTTTTGTTTAGGAGATGGGGTATCTGCTCTACGGTCCAGGCTGGCCTAAAACTCTGAGCAGTCCTCCTGCCTCAGCCTCTTGAGATTATAGGCATGCACCACTGCTCTGTGCTATCATCTCTATCCCTCAGCCACTCTCAGGGACAGTCTGTCACCTGGCCTCCTCTAAATGCATGTGCTGTTTAGTGACTCCTTTATAACCTCAGTTCACCTGGGTCATCCGCTTATGACGAGGCTGCAGTATTGCCGAGGGTACTGAGCCAATTTCCTGATGCATTTGAACTGTTACAGGAGATGTTCTATAACCTGGATTTTTAGGTCAAGTGAGCTGGAAAATGGGCTTATTAGGTTTTCCATAAACAACTGGTCTTCCTTCCCTGTGTGTGGTTCCTTCCCGGTATTTCCTCGTCTCCCTGGAGAATCAAAGGGCTAGAATAAAGACAGTCTTTTCCCCCATATTACCCTCAGAGCATCCTGAATACAGAGACCATTATGAAGGGCAGAGTTATCATTTATCTTGACGTGAGAGGCTTCGTAAGGCTCAGCTCTTCCGCTGACAGGTTGGGATACACCAGGAGCCACACTTGATTTACCAGGATGTGTTTGTTTTCCACAGCCGGAGTTTACGGTCTCCTCCCCACAGTTTACTGATCCTCACCTGTATGTGTGGAATGTCACTGGCAACAGATTGCTATACCGAGTGGAAGGAGTACGGCTAAAAACAAGACCGTCCCAATGCACAGATTATGTGAGCATCAAAAAACGAGTTGAAATGTTGGCGAAAATGAAAGTCACCCGCTACCAGTTTGCCCTGGACTGGACCTCTATCCTTCCTACTGGGAATCTGTCTAAAGTTAATAGACAAGTGCTAAGGTACTATAGGTGTGTGGTGAGCGAAGGACTGAAGCTGGGCATCTCCCCCATGGTGACGTTGTACCATCCGACTCACTCCTATCTAGGCCTCCCTATGCCACTTCTGAGCAGTGGGGGATGGCTAAACGCGAACACAGCCAAGGCCTTCCAGGACTACGCAGGGCTATGCTTCCAGGAGCTGGGGGACTTGGTGAAGCTCTGGATCACCATCAATGAACCTAATAGGCTGAGCGACATGTACAACCGCACGAGTAACGACACCTATCGTGCGGCCCACAACTTGATGCTGGCCCACGCCCAGGTCTGGCACCTCTATGATAGACAATATAGGCCAGTCCAGCATGGGGCTGTGTCACTGTCCTTACATTCCGACTGGGCAGAACCTGCCAACCCCTATGTGGCTTCACACTGGAAGGCAGCCGAGCGCTTCCTCCAGTTTGAGATCGCCTGGTTTGCAGATCCACTCTTCAAGACTGGCGACTACCCATTGGCCATGAAGGAATACATCGCCTCCAAGAACCAGCAAGGGCTGTCTAGCTCAGTCCTGCCCCGCTTCACCGTGAAGGAGAGCAGGCTGGTGAAGGGTACCATCGACTTCTACGCACTGAACCACTTCACTACTAGGTTCGTGATACACAGGCAGCTGACTACTAACCGCTCAGTTGCAGACAGGGACGTCCAGTTCCTGCAGGACATCACCCGCCTGAGCTCGCCCAGCCGCATGGCTGTAACACCCTGGGGAGTTCGCAAGCTCCTTGGGTGGATCCGGAGGAACTACAGAGACATGGATATCTACATCACAGCCAATGGCATTGATGATCTGGCTCTAGAGGACGATCAGATCCGAAAGTACTACTTGGAGAAGTACGTCCAGGAGGCTCTGAAAGGTAAGATTTGGGGATACAGAGAGGCGGGAGAGGTATATAAACTTGACAGCAATAAAAACCTAGGCGTAAAACTCATCACCGACTCAAGATTTGTGGCCCCCAACTCCTCCTGCTCATTGGATTTCTTCCTTAAAATAGGCCTTTATTATTGAATTTTAAATTCCTTGTTTGTTTGAGACCATGTCTCTCTATGTAGTCCTGTCTTGAAGCTTGCTATGTAGACCAGGCTGGCCTTGAACTCACAGAGATCTACCTTCTGAGTGGTGGGATTAAAGGCATGTGTACCTACCATCATGTCTAGCTGAAATTTTTAATTTTTACTTTCATCATTAATGTTTTTTTTAAGACAGGTTCTAAGTAGTAGCCTAAGCTGACCCCTATCCTGCTTCTGCCTTCCAAGTGGTGGCATGATAAACCTAGGCCACCACATCTGGACTTTTATAAAGTGCCGGTAATCTCACTATGGAAGAACTGCAAAGCACTTCCCCCCCCCCCCCGAGAAATCTCACTTCCCAAGAAAAGTATCATCCGATTTAGATTATTTCCAGTGAGCTTCCTAATACAGTTGAGCTGAGGCTATTATTTCCCATTTGCCTACAACTTTTTGTTTGTTTGGGGAGTTGAACCCAGGTTCCATTTGGCTGTACTAAAAAGCTACATCCCCATATTCCTAACTCTGTGCCTGCGTGCGTGCGTGCGTGTGTGCATGTGTGTGTGTGTGTAGGTAGCTGGGAATTTAACCAAGGACCTCATGCATACTAGCCTATACACTCTACCACTGACCTACCTTCATTCCCACTCACCAGCATTTTCTTTGTCGGGCTGGGGTTCAAATTCAGGGCTTTATGTGTGCTAAGCCACCAACCTCAAAGCAGCCACATCATGAATTTTCTTTCTTTCTTTTTTTTTTTTGTTTTTTTTCGAGACAGGGTTTCTCTGTGTAGCCCTGGCTGTCCTGGAACTCACTCTGTAGACCAGGCTGACTTCAAACTCAGAAATCCTGTCTCTGCTTCCCAAGTGCTGGGATTAAAGGCATGCACCACCACTGCCCGGCAAAAACTAAATTTTAGAAGTTGTTTTATTTATTCATATTCCAAATGTTGCCCTGCTTCACAGTCCCCCTCCAAGAGTTCTTTACCCTCCTCCCCTTTGCCTCGAGAGGGTGCTCCCCCCAGCCCCCCTAAGTTCTTACTCAAAGATACTTTACTATTCATTTGTGATCAACAATGTTTCTTTTTTTCAGCATATCTCATTGACAAGGTCAAAATCAAAGGCTACTATGCATTCAAACTGACTGAAGAGAAATCTAAGCCTCGATTTGGATTTTTTACATCTGACTTCAAAGCTAAATCCTCTGTGCAGTTTTATAGCAAGCTGATCAGCAGCGGCGGCTCCCCGTCTGAGAAGAGTAGTCCTGCATGTGGTCAGCCTGCAGAAGACACAGAGTGTGCCATTTGCTCATTTCTCATGCAGAAGAAACCACTAATCTTCTTTGGTTGTTGCTTCGTCTCCACTCTGGTTGTATTGCTATCAATCACCATTTTTCATCATCGAAAGAGAAGAAAATTCCAGAAAGCAAGGAACTTAAAAAATATACCATTGAAGAAAGGCCACAGCAGAGTTTTTAGCTAAACTATCATTTCTGTCATAGTTTAAAGATTCACTCCAGTTCCATATACTGGTAACTTACAATGTGAGAGACAGCTGTAACCAAGGTGAAGACAATCAATGCCTTTGAAGTGTGGTTCAAATCATTCCTTTAGGTACTGACAATCAGTGAATCCGAGCTGAAGACACCCTGACAGTAACTCTGGGCGTGACCCTAGACATTGCTTCAGGAAGTGTGAATCACTACTTCACATCCCTTTTCTGTAGCTTTCTTCTGTAAATAGCAATTGCTATTCATGGTAAAGAAATTAATTTTAAAAAGTGAAATTTTGTTGTCTTAGACTTCATAGCTTAAACCTATTTTGAAGTCGTTGTTTTGAGACAGGTCTATTATGTAGCTCTGGCTGCCATGGGACTTGCTATGTAGACCAGGCTGGCCTCAGCCTCACAAAGGTCCACCTGCCTCAGCCTTCTGAGTACTGGGATCAAAGGTGTGCATCACTATGCCTGGCTAAAACTATGTAAACTGGACAGTTAGTGACATACTCTTGTCACTTCTAACAAGGTGCTCTCTGGTTAGTCAGGGTTGTCTTCAGATGGAATGTGCAAACACACCAGGACTCTAGATCATGCTTGTCCATATGTAGTTAAAGAAGCTCTAAAACATACCAATGTTTGCTTTCCTCAAAAATATTTTTTCAGATACTTTTTTTTTTTTTTTTTTTTGGTTTTTCGAGACAGGGTTTCTCTGTGTAGCCCTGGCTGTCCTGGAACTCACTCTGTAGACCAGGCTAGCTTCGAACTCAGAAATCCGCCGGCCTCTGCCTCCCAAGCGCTGGGATTAAAGGCGTGTGCCACCAATGCCTGGCTAGATACTTCTTAAACATCCAAGTTTGTGAGCTTTCTTTTCTTTTCTTTTTTTTTTTTTTTTAAATTTTTATTTGTTTATTACATGTAAGTAAACTGTAGCTATTTTTACACACCCCACAACAGGGCATCAGATATCATTACAGATGGTTGTGAGCCACCATGTGGTTGCTGGGATTTGAACTCATGACCTCTGGAAGAGCAGTCAGTGCTCTTAACCTCTGAGCCATCTCACCAGCCCGAGCTTTCTTTTCTTACTGGACTTAAAATTTTTATTTCTTTTTGTGGCAGGGTGAGTGGGTTCTGTGCAGCCCTGGCTATCTTGATACTTTCTCTGTAGAGACCAGGCTGGCTGGAACTCAAGAGATCCAACTGTCTCTGTCTCCCAAGTGCTGGGATTGAAGGTGTGTACCACTCTGCCCAGTCTGGACTTCTGATTTTCAAGGAGCTTCATGGGTGGAAAAATGGCTCAGCGGTTAAGAGAACTGGCTGCTCTTCCAGAAGACCCTGGTTCAATTCCCAGCACCCACATGGCAGCTTACAACTGTTTGTAATTCCAGTTCCTGGAGATCTGATACCCTCATAGACATACATGTAGGCAGAACACCAATATACATAGAAAGATCACAGGATAAAGAACAACTAGACCCAAGTATCTATGCAAATCTTGTTCGTATTGCAAAGCAATTCCCATTTTAAAATAAACTGGCATTACCCCTATTACCCTGAAAATTTTTTTTTTGAGGTGGCAAGATTTGGCACTTAGCAAAGTATAAAAAAGTGTAGACTTTTCAGCCAGGCGATAGTGGTGCACGCCTTTAATCCCAGCACTTGGGAGGCAGAGGCAGGCGGATTTCTGAGTTCGAGGCCAGCCTGGTTTACAGAGTGAGTTCCAGGACAGCCAGAGCTATACAGAGAAACCCTGTCTCAAAAAAAAAAAAAAAAAAAAAGTAGATTTTACTATGGGTTACCAATAATAGTCAAAGGACCATACCATTAATCGTAGAGCCTGGAGCTGTCCCAGAGCTTCACAACTTCCTCATGAACACAGGTGTAGAATATCTAGAGCTAGTCACATTACCCAGTCACTGCCAACCTTCTCCAGGAAGTTAGACTTAGGAGTCAAAGAAAAGTGGTTCTTCCACACAGCCTTAGTGATAAAACCATTCTAAAGTGTTAGTGATTTTAACTGTATTTCAGATCTACCTCTCGTTAGATAGTGAACTTAAGGCATAATTAGGATACTTTTTTGTGTTTTTCAAGATAGGGTAGCACTGGCTATCCTGGAACTCTGTAGACTAGACTGGCCTTGAACTCAAAAACCCACCTGCCTCTGCCTCCCAAACACTGGGATTAAAGGTGTGCACCACCACTGCCCCGAAGTATTAAAATTCTTATAATCAGCACTAATTTAAGAACAAAGTCAAAGAGACAGCACATGTAAAACAACGATAAAGCTGCTACTGGACTAGCCAAATCTAACAGCAGATCTGTTTTTCTATTCCTGGTTAGCACAACCACCACCTTTCCAGTCTTAGGTTTTTCTTTTTAAAATGTGTATGGGTGTTTAGCCTATATGTATATACATACCACTTGTGTGTCCTTGGAAGCCAGAAGAGGCATCAGATCCTCTGCAACTGGAGTTACAGATGGCTGTGAGCCAACACGTGGTGATGGGAACCAAACCTGGGTCATCTATAAGGACAGCCAGTGCTCATCAGCACTGAGCCATCTTTCCAAGTTTAGCAGTTCTTAGGTTTTAGGATGACACCCATTATAGTTGGCTAAACAATTGTCCTCTAAGCCACATAAAAAAGCTGTAATTTTGCTTTAAAAGACCCCAAAACCCTAAAACTGCCTTTCCTGCACGCACATGGACGTTCACCTGGTACCTTGGGAGGTCAGAAGGGTACGCTAGATCTAGAACTGACTGGAGTTACAGATGGCTGTGAGGTAGGACTAAAACCTGTCTCCTCTGCAAGAGCAACAAGTGTTCTTAAGCACTGAGTGTCTATTGCCCCACTTAGGTTTTTCTTTTGCCACTTGAATTCACTCCAGAAAAACTTGATAAAAGTTTTAAAAACCACGTTGACTTCCATAAACCTTCATGTTAGCCTTGAAAGATGCAGAAGGCAAAGAACTTGGAACCAACCCTTAATTCAAATAACATGTTTAGGCCTTGACTTAGAACTGGCAGTGATCCTCCTGCCTCAGTCTAAGAGCTGAAATTACTGGTGTACTACCATGCCCAGTTCAGTTTTCTATTAACCATCACTACTACCTTTGTTTTGAGACAGGGTCTCACCTATTATACAGCCCAAGTTGGACTATTATCTCAGATAATAGGTATCTCAGGATAAGCTCAACTCCTGACCCTCCTGCCTCAACTCCACTGCAGGGGCTACAGGAATATACCACATACCCAACTAAAACCTTTCCTTAAATACAATGTGTTCTTATTGAGCTAAGCTCAGAACACCTTCCCAAAGTTCCCTAAATGCAAAGTTCCTAGCCCAATGGCTGCCATACTTGGGGGTTGGGCACATGTAAGGATCATAATGGAAATTAGCTCATGATCCAGTGATATACCAAGGAAAAGTTCTGAGTAGCTGCAGAAAAAGACACATTTTACATATTCAATAAAACCCACTTCTCATTACATCTTTAAATATTGCCATAACTGTATTTAACCTCTGGGAAATGAAGTACCCTGTGTCTAAATGTTTTAACCTCCAGTGCTATACCAAATAACCTGGTTAATGCCATTTAACTAATGCTGGTTGGTCAATTTCAGCAATTGTCTTGTCTCCCTAAACTGGCCAAATACATAGCTGACACTCTTCTGCTTCCAGCCCTGAAGGCTGATTAGACTAGACAAGCCACATCTACCTGTGCTGCTAGCTGGAACTTTGTTAATCCTAGGCAGCATCCTGACAACTCAACCTGGCCCTTTTCTGGTTGAGTCAGGGTCTCCATAGCCTTGAATGGCCATTCAAGGCATCCAAGTTACCAGAAAATGAGTAGCAAATGCTCTCAACCAGCCCAGACATTCTAGTTTTGGTTAAGGCAGAGCTGTAGATGGTGTAGCAATACTACAGTGTTGCTCTTGCAAAATTTACAAGTGGTGACAATTCTAGCTCGAGGGAAACACTTCTGGACACAGGCAGTTAGATTGGACACTACCTGTACCCTAGTCCCAGGGAAGACACTGCCTCAAATGGAAGGTGAATGGGTGACTATTAAAAGCTGGGTGTTTTGGTACTTGCCTTTGATCCAAGCAGTGAGTAGGTGGAATTTGAGGCCATCATAGGGGACAACCTTCTCCAAGGAGTCACAGGTCTGGGACTGTTTGCCTAACATTTACAATTCTGGGGCCGACAAGTCACTTGCCCAAGTGGGTAGGGAAGTAACTCACACAAACACCAGATCTGTTACATCTAGAATCCTATACTCAAAAGCCAGCAACCCCAGGTTCATTGTAATTTCTAGTCCACACTGGCCCCTCATCCCTCATCCTCCAGCTTCAACCCCCTCAGTGCTAGAATTACAACTCTACAAAGAAACCATCGGGACCTGTGTTTTCTAGCTCTTAATTATTCTTAATCTTTGTTTGTTTTCTCTGTGTATCCCTAGCTGTCCTGGAACTCTGTAGACCAGGCTGGCCTCAAACTCAGAAATCCGCCTGCCTCTGCTTCCCAAGTGCTGGGATTAAAGGCGTGCGCCACCACCCAGCTATTAATCTTAATATTGACCCAACAGTCAATACTATACCTGTGTCAAAGACAAACACCTGTAGGACCTACCCAAAGTGCTACACTCACTGAACATCCATTAGGATGGTTGCCTGTTGTTGCTATTTTAAGCCACTTGATTACATGAAGAACCTCCCCACAAAAAACAAAAGTATCAGCTGACCCATTAAGTAATCAGAAAAAAATCAAGACATACAAATCAATATATAAGTCCTTTATTGCCCAAACTGTACTTGTGATCAGGATCTTGTTTCTGGAGCTAGGAATCTGTAAAAAAACAATTATATGTAAACTTTTGTCAATATTCCTGCCTGGAAAGTTCTTTAATCACTTTTAGCACACTGCGCTCATCTGAAGCAGTCATAGACACAGGGACCCACCTGAGGCCTCACTCGTCAGCCTGCTGCACGGTTCCCTTCTCAGACACATAGATGCCATCCAAAAACTTTCTGATATCTTTGTTTTTAACTGTTGTAGCTTGCTGAATCAGAGCCGCTATACAGGAAGAAGCACACAAAACCATTACTTCACTAGTCAAATTCATCTTAAACAAGTCCAACCGACCAGAAATCAATCCCCGGAGCCTGCGCAGTGGACAGAGGGACTCCTTCACTCCCCTTGGATCAAGTGAGCAGTGGCACACATACCCCAATAGACATAAAAACAAATACTTTTCCAACAAAGGCAGCCATGTGCCACTCATTTTGAGGTTCATATACAAGCAGAGCATTCAGAACCACTTTGTATTCTTGATACAAAGTACAGTACACAATTACATATAGAACAGATTCATAATGATTCTATTATTTCTCTGAAGTTTTGAAACAAAGAAATCAGACATGCATTCTACCTCAAGACTCAGATAAAATGTTAGCATCTGTTATGACATAAATATACATACCTGAATTTGAAACAAGCTCAATATCATTTCCTTCAAGGATTAATTCATCCTTCTGGGCTTGGGAGACAGAACAAGCAACACCTGAAAGCGAGAACATGATAGTTAACATGAGATCGCACAAATATAACTCTTATCTAAAATTCCAAGCACCAATCAAGTTCTCTAAGATTTTAGGGTTGGACTTCTGAACACACTGTCCTCACAGATGACAAATGTGTCTCCCAGATCCCACAAAAAGCTGCTCTATCTCTCAACTACTTCAGCACACTCCCTCTTCAGGAAAACCTCAAGCTATTAGAACTATCAAAAGAGATAGTGCTAAAATAGCCTTCACTCAAACACTAAGACCCCACCCAAGGACAGAACTGTAGCAACTTCCCCGTCACTCCTGAAGGTCCACACATACCTGTCCTCATCCGAACCCTGCGGATGTATTTTTCACCCAAGAAGTTTCGGATTTCAACCAAAGACCCATTCTCCTGAATAACGACGTTGATGGGGAAGTGAGCGTACACAGACCTCATCTTGTAACGGAAGCCCTGCATTAAACATGTGAGCTGTGAGCAATCCTCAACAAAGTTTTTCAGTTCAGGCTGGCCTAATTAAGATTCCTCTTCTTTAGCTTTCCCTGGAATCACCCATGTGTGCCCCCAGGGCCCGAGTCAACTCTAAATCCCTAAGGTGCTTTTGCTGTAACTTGGAAATCTAACATACACACCATACCTACCACCTGCAAATTGCAACACATCGTACTAAAGAGCCTTGCTTTACTATCTCATCCTTTCAATGAGAGCACAAGAGCCTCTCTTTTGGCATTACAGTATTTGTGGAGTTATTACCGACACCAGCAGATAAAGGACTTCAAACCATCAAGGTAAATAAAGAGCCCAGTCCTTCATGGGAAGTGGGAGCAACAGGTACATGAGAGACCAAGTGCGGGGTACATGTATGAAACAAACCTCTTCAGCATTAGTTGTATTTTGGGAGAAAGGATTTGGAACCGACAGTGACTTCAGATATGCACAAGTTAGACCCTTTCTATCCACATGTCAACTAGTAACCTCATCTCCACTAGAGCATATTATCTATCAACCCCCCCACACACACACACTCAAGGAGCCTGCCCAGCAAATTCCTAGGTTTCATCTGTGGCAACTCACCCCCCCCCCCAGACCTGGGCCGAGACAGTTATATACACAAAACACATCCAAAAAACCTCTTACAAAGGGTTAAAAAAAACGCAGTGTGGAGGGCTGGCTTACCAGTGTAACACCCTTGATCATGTTCTGAACATGACTGCAGATGGTTCTGACAGTGGCCAGCTCCTTTCTGTTACCCCACCATTTGTCAACCCGGAGCTGTAACAGAGCAAAACTTTAGAACTAAAACGCAACATTTTTTATCTGGCGAGTCCAAGAGCACTCAAAGCGGCATACAAATACTCCGTGTGTCACATGAACAACAGGTATACACCTCCCCCCAAAACTCTGAGAACACAACCAAGACACACATTGGGGGGGTGTTTAATATTAGTTACCGGGCTTTCGGGCACTGGATTCGGTTTTATAATTTCACCAAAGAAAAATCTCTAACTCCAGGCACCCAGCTGGTAACTTTAAATTAAAAGTCACCCCTCTGCCTCCCCAGTGCTGGGATTAAAGGTGCCACCACGCCCGGCCAAAGGCCCCAAATCGCATGCTGTTAAAAACAAGCATCGGAAGCACACGATATTGAAGTCCTTACCCTTTTCTTTTTCTTCCCAAGAAGACTCAGCTCTACGTTGATGTGATTGAAGTCCCTCCGCAGAGTTCCCCTGGGGCCCTTCACAATGACGGTGCGCCCCTTCAGAGTGATGTCGACTAGAAGAGAAGATGAACTCGTGAGACCACAGGCCAGGGCTTAGAGCATGCAAGAATGAAGTGAGAGCAAAGCATGAGCCTCCTACCATTTTCCGGAATGTCGACAGTCTGATTGCTGAGAATGGTCTTCATCCTGAAACACAAACACCCGAGTAAGAAGGCTGGAGCAGGGAACGTTCTACACCTGACAACGGGCAGAGTTCCGCTACAAACGGAAATCGCCAGCTAGGAAATCCGGCGTGAAAGACACAGTGGGTCCGTGACAAGGAGTGGCCCGAGGGCGCGTGGGCCGGGAGTGAGCGGGCCCCGGCGGAGTGCCATGGCGGAAGGGCTGCAGCCGGGATGGGCCTGAAAGCCCGAACGCAACTTCCAGCTCGCGCCACCAAATCCAAAAGACGCACGTCGTGCTGGGGAACAGTTGGGACAAAGACTCGGGGCATCGGGTCCATGCCGCCGGCGTCCCCAAGAGAGGATGGGTTCAGATTCCCAGGGCACACAGCCCCTAAACTCCTCACCTCGCAGTAGATGGGGCAAAGAGAGAACGCCCTTCGTCATCACGTTCTTGTAACCCGTCAGGACCCTGCGTGTTGCGTCACGACCGAGCGACGGTTTTAAGGCAAAACGACTCGATCGCGGAGCTAGTCGAGTCGCGCATGTTGGCGATAACGTATTGCGTCATAAGTAAAGCGACGGGTTTTTTAGACGCATCTTGTTCCCGGAGTGCTGTTCCCATGTACCCTTGCCTTTCTTAAGACCTAAAAGAGGGGATGGCTCTACGCTGCTGGGATGCAGCTCGCAGCCTTGGGTCCCGGGTGAGCGACAGGAACGCCTTTGCTTATGACAAGTTCACAACTAGGGAAATTGTTCCAGATATCCTTTTTTAAAGCCCTGAAAGCCGTGGCATATCTTAATTATTGCAAACTTGTTGACAACATATTTTTAGGACCTGTTTTAGGAATAGAAGACGTGAAAACGTGGCATGTTAAATCACTTCCTAAGGTTTTCTAATCTATATTTAGCAGTTAACTTTGATCTGATTCCCACTTTTTCCCATTCGTCAGGGCTGAGTGTGAATCACGGTCCCTGTAACCCTAGGCTGACCTGAAACTTAAATTCTTAGACAAAAGAATCCTCCTCACTCTGCTTCCTCTGAGTTCTGGATTACTTGTTTGAGCCACCATGGCTTGCGGTTCTTTCACCCTGAGTCTTTTTCAGATTCTGATCTACGTAGTTTGAGCTCTTAAATCGTTTTATGTAATTTCTGAATCAGTTCTTTAGCTTTGGTATTATAATGGGTTAAAACTAATTTATTCCAGAGTCTACTGAGTGAATGTTGTACTGAACCCTTTCTGTAGGTATTTGGAAGATATACGTGCTCGGTTAGAGCATTAAGTTCTTTGTCAGATAAGAAAAAGGAATTTTTACATAATGGACCAGACCTTCAAGATTTTGTGTCTGGCGATCTTGCAGACAAGAGTACCTGGGATGAATATAAAGGAAACTTAAAGCGCCAGAAAGGAGAAAGGTAATTGAATATTAGAGGCCATTTTGATTTTGTGCATTGTTTTTTGTTTTTGTTTTTGTTTTTGTTTTGGTCTTTTAAGACAGAGTTTCTCTGTGTAGCCCTGGCTGTCCTGGAACTCACTCTGTAGACCAGGCTGGCCTCGAACTCAGAAATCCGCCTGCCTCTGCCTCCCAAGTGGTGGGATTAAAGGTGTGCGCCATCACCGCCCGGCTTTGTGCATTGTTTTTAATCAAGCCTTGTAGTAGATTTTTCTGTACCCTTTGACCATTTTCTTCATCCTTCCTAAAATGACCTGACCATTTTATACTGCCATATCCCATTTTCTATCTAGCATCTAATTGAGAGAGTATAGGTTTTTCTCTTGGTATTTATTTATTTATTTATGGTTTTGGAGATGGTTTCTCTGTGTAGCCCTAACTGTCCTCGAATTCTCTCTGTAGACCAGGCTGGCCTCAAACTCAGAGATGCATTTTCCTTTTCTTCCTAAGTGCTGCAATTAAAGGCGTGCACCACCACCACCTGGCTTACTTTATTGATTTATACCTTCATATAATTTTAATTGTTAATGGGCATTGATCATCTAACTTACTCTTTGCTTGTTTGTTTGTTTGAGATGGGGACTCGCTATCTGTTCCTGGCTAACCTGGAACTCACTTTGTAGGCTAGGCTGGCCTCAAACTCAGAACTGAGGTCTGCCTGCTTCTACCTCCCAGGCACTGGTTCTAATTTGTTCCTTTCCTGAGAAAGTTTACATATAGCCTATGTTTACTTTATCTTAATTGTTTTTTAATGATGTATGGTTGCATGGCTTGTAGAAGGCTCTGGATGCCAGATTCCTAGCAACACAGTAAACAAACAGTAACAGAAGAGTGGTGTACAGTGTTGTTTTCAAAAATACTTTGTTAAACAGCTTCTAGATCAGAAGTGAATATAGTCAGAAAAAAACAAGGATATAGCTTTCTTTCCGAAGGTTAGACCTTGTCTTTTTTGTTGTTGTTTTTCATTTCTTGGTTTCTTTTAAGTCAGAGTTTCATCTATATAGTCTGGGCTAACCTTGAAATTACTATGTAGTTAGATTTGACCTTGAACTCCTGATCCTACTACCTCCATGGCTTAAATTGTAGCAACACTGACATGAACCACTGAAATTAGCAACTTGTCTCTCTTTATTAATGACTAGAATCTGGAATGCAGAATAGATAGTATGCAGTTGGCTTCTTTCCGTATTCTGAGTTACCGTAGTAATTTGTAGTATTCATAGGGAAGGACATATCCTTCCTTTAATTAGAACAGTGTAGCAATGTACGGTTGAAGGTAGGTATAAGCATAGCACCCCCTTAGACTCCGTGTCAGTGTTTTCTAAAGCAGTTTAAGCAGACCTAACTTTGAGTCTTTGTTCTTACGACTATGATGGAATTGTGTTAGTTCAGAAATATGGAAAAGGCTATCCTGGGAAACTGTTAGAGCAAAGGTACATGTTTTCCACAGGCTGGTAATAGACCATTCTCTCTGGCTTTCTCTAGGTTAAGATTACCTCCCTGGTTGAAGACAAAGATACCCATGGGTAAAAATTACAATAAACTGAAAAATACATTGCGGAATTTAAATCTCCACACAGTAAGTGGCCAGTGTATTTCCTCTCCGTTTTACCTAATGTCTGTACTGTTTCTCCATATTTGTAAAGTTTTGTTTTGTTTTTTTGAGATACAGTCTCATTGTGTAACATAGGCCTGTTCGTTCTCAAACTTGTGATTCTCCTGCCTTACCTTCCTGGGTGCTCAGATTACAAAGTGGTTGGTGCCAAATGAGACCAAAAAGATGGTTAATGAGTATATAAACTTTGGCAAGGAAAGCAGGTACAGATGAAAAGTGAAGTGTTATCAGCAGTAGTAGGAATGTACATAGACGTTTAGGGGCTGGGAGAATATTTCAGTGTTGTCTTAGTGTATGTAAAACCAAGTCTGATTTTCCTACAAGAAAAACAAAAAGTGATTATATTTCTTCTGAACTCTGTTGGAAACTTAAGCAGTAATTTAAAATGCCTAATACTTCATTGTTGGCAGATCGGTCCTTTTACCCTGCTTCATCATTTCCCCTTTTCACAGGTATGTGAGGAAGCCCGATGTCCCAACATTGGAGAGTGTTGGGGAGGTGGGGAATATGCCACAGCCACAGCCACCATCATGGTAAGGCCACCTGGTCTCTACAGCTTAGTTCAGGCATGGTACAGAGATGTTTATGCTCCCTCCTAAAAATGTATACTGTGAACAGCCAGTGAGACTCTTACCACATATGAGTTTATAAAATCACAAAGAGAGAACCTTGTGACTTCACCTTCTCTGAATTAATCTGTTATTGGGTCTTCCATGTATCTGATATTGAACTCTTTGGTGCCTTAGGGTATATGTTTGCATGAATGTTTGGAAATATTTTCATAATTATTTGTTTTTTGTTTGTTTGTTTTGTTTTTCGAGACAGGGTTTCCTCTATATAGCCCTGGCTGTCTTGGAACTCACTCTGTAGACCAGGCTGGCCTCCAACTCAGAAATCCACCTGCCTCTGCCTCCTAAGTGCTGGGATGAAAGGCGTGCGCCACCACCGCCCGGCTTGTGAATGTTTTTCTATCTCATCTATTTAACAAGCAATACTTGCAGAGTAACTCCACTCAGATCTGCCTGTTCATCTTTCCATTGAATTTATCTTCAGGCAGCCATGTGGCTCAATGGGTAAAGTTACATGCAGTCGAGCCTGGAAATCTGAGTTCAGCCCACAGGACCCACCAGTGGAAGGAGAACACCGACTCCCACAGGCTGTTCTCTTATGTCCTGGTGTCTTCTCACATGTACATACCCATACCCACAAAATAAATAAAATGCCATTTAAAAAAAGAGTATATTTTCAGCTGGGCAGCGGTGGTGCACATCTTTAATCCCAGCACTCGGGAGGCAGAGGCAGGTAGATTTCTTGAGCTTGAGGCTAGCCTCTACAGAGTAAGTTTCAGAATAGTCAGACTACACAGAGAAACCCTGTCTCAAAAAAAAAAAAAAATTTTTTTTTTCCGAATCATTCCTTGTTGATTATTGAGTTGTGAGAAATCTTTACAAACTATGACTAAGTGTTATAAACACGTAAACAATACCACAGATAAACAATACCACAGACGACCTGATCCTCTGGTTAGAGACCAGAATGTTAGCCTCTCCACAAGCTCTACCTTGGGGCCCCATTATTTCATCTTATTTCTAGTTTGTTTGTTTGTTTGTTTATTTGTTTGAGACAGGGTTTCTTTACATAGCCCTGGATGGCCTGGAACTCACTCTGTAGACCAGGTTGGCCTCAAACTCAGAGATCTGCCTGTTTCTGCCTACCAAGTGCTGGGATTGAAGGTACACACCACCACCACCCAGTTTAATTATTCTTAATTTTGTGTATGTGTCTGTGAGTGCAGGTGCATGTAGATATTTAGTCGATGTAGGTGCTGGGAGCTGAACTTGGATCTTCTGAAAAAAACTATCCTCTTAAACACTGAGCCATCTCCCGTTTAAATTCTGAGACTGAGTGGAGCCCAGGCTCACCTTGAACTGATGCTCTTCTTATCTGATTCTCTTCTTGCCTCAGCTTCCAAGGCGCTGGCATTACAGACACATATCACCACCCTTGGCTTTACGTTTAAATTCTGTTGTTGTTGATGATGATGACGATGACTGTGTACATGTGGAGATGTGTTTGGAAGTCAGAGGACAACTTTGTGGAGTCTGTTCTCCTTCCCACCTTTACAGGGGGTGTGGGAATCAAACTCAGGTCACTTGCTTGGCAAGTACCTTTCCCCACTAGCCATCTTGCTGGCCCCTTAAATTATAAAATTATCTGTTCCCTCCTGGTCCCATACCCCCTCCAGTTCCCTTAACACTCTACTTGAGTGTATCCTTTCTTTTTCCACATAATTTGTATTTCTTAACCAGATATCATTTAATCTGGAATGTTTTGGATTCCTTATACACAGACCCAGTCTGATGACATTCTGTGCCATTTTCTTTTGGCATTGTATTCTTGGGGGTCATCTGGCTACTTGATATAAATCGCGACGTCTCTGTTCTAGTTGATGGGGGACACATGCACAAGAGGTTGCAGATTTTGTTCTGTTAAGACTGCAAGAAACCCCCCTCCACTGGACGCCAGTGAGCCCGACAATACGGCCAAAGCCATCGCAGAGTGGGGTCTGGATTACGTTGTCCTGACATCGGTGGATCGAGATGGTTAGTAGTGCGTCCCTGCGGCTTTAGTTAAGTTGTGGCACAGCTTGAACAGAAGCTTCTTCTCTTCCTAGATGTGCTTGATGGGGGAGCTTCGCACATCGCCAAGACCGTGTCGTGCTTGAAGGAAAGGTACTTGTTTGACGTTCGTTCATGTGAATTTGAGGCCTTTTTTTTAATCTCTTCTTTCTTTCGTTCTTTCTTTTTTTCCTCTTCTTTTTTTGAGACAGAGTCTATGTAGCTCTGGCTGTCCTGAAACTCACTATATAGACCAGGTCAGCCTTGAACTCACAGAGAAACACCTACCTTTGCCTCCCAAATTCTGGGATTAAAGATGAGCCACCACATCCAGCCCAGCACTGAGTTCCTATTAAGTTACTACTTAAGAGTTAGTTGAGGATACAGCTTTGTGGTAGGATGCTTGCCTAGCATGCTCAAGACCCTAGGTTTGATGCTTCCCCCTTCCCTTTAGACACACAGAAAACTAAACATTTAAGAACATGTAGTGCTAAGCTGGGCGGTAGTAACACACACCTTTAATCCCAGCACTCAGGAGGCAGAGTCAGTGGATCTCTAAATTCAAGGCCAGTCTGGTCTATAGAGTTCCAGGACAGCCAGGGCTACACAGAGAAACTCTGTCTGGAAAAACAAACAAACAAACAAACCATGTTGTGCTGCTCTTGCAGAAGACCTGGGTTCAGTTCCCAGCTCTTATGGTGGCTGACAACCAATCCTAACTCCACAGGGGATCCAGCACCCATACTTGCAGCAAAACACACAGAAAGTGGAAATAAATAGATCTGCAGAAGGGCAAAAAGCCTAAAGTGGGCTGGAGAAATGGCTCAGTGTTAAGAGCACTGACTGCTCTTCCAGAGGTCCTGAGTTCAATTCCCAGCAACCACATGGTGGCTCACACTCGTCTGTAATGGGATGCAGTATACTCATATACATTAAATAAATAAATAAATAAATAAATAAATAATTTTTTTAAAAAGCCTAAGGTAAGATGAGATAAACACCATCATTGTAAAATACATGTCTGGACACAGTTTTCATTTTTATCTGTCTGTCCTGCCAATTTTACTCACAGTCTACATTTAAAAAAAAAATTTAATTCCACTCATTTCAAAAAACATTAAAAAGTAGCAAAGTTCAACAGATTGGTGGCACATGCCTTTAATCCCAGAGTTCAAGAGCAGAGACAGGATGACCTCTGAATTTAAGGTCAGCCTGATTTACATAGCAACTCCAGGCCAGCCAGGGCTGCATAGTCAGATTCTGGCTCTAAAAGCAAAAGGAGCTAAATCATTTCTGTAACTTGGTGCTAGTGTTAAGGTCTAGTGTGCTAACACATGTTTTTCTACTGATTTACCAGTTTTTCTATTTGTTAGGGTTCAAAAAATATATTTTGTGTTTTTGAGCTCACAGCATTTCTTTCATAAGCCACTAATGCATCTCAGGTGTGGTTTTAGAAAGTCAGTTTCAGAGTCACACACTGTGATCTTTCAGCATCTTACACAAGGGGACAAGTGTGGTCTTTCCTACCTGTTCTCAGGGAACAGCTGCACTCTGCCTCTGGGATTGCAAACAGCTCTGTGACCTAGTTCACAGTACAGTGCTTCACTAGATAAACACAGCCACCATAGAAACAGGAAGATTATTGTTTGGTTGGTACTTCATTAAAAAAGAAAACCAACTCATGATTCAGCAAACCCAGAAACAGCTTTTAAAGCTCAGCTCATGGAGAGATTTTTGCCTAGAGGAGGTGAGGACAGTGTCTGATGAATTACAGAAGCAATCAAAGTTGAAGAAGGTGCCATTTGCCACCACAGAAGAAATGTCCCAATTTGTTTTCCAAATAGTAAAATAATAATGATAATAATGATGTCTTATATTTTGGTTCCTTTGAATGATTTGTTTTTTCATTACCTAGTCCAGTTAGGTTTGAAAGTCAGATTCTACTGTTTGCTGTCTGGGTAGGCATCCTGGTTGCGCTGTGCATGCAGGTCACTGTTTTGAGAGGTTTCATGTAGTTGCTCACTTAGGACCATTTTGTGTCTGTGCCTTCCTTACACGGTCCAAGGGCTGCGGAAGTGCTACAGCCAGTGGTGACAGTCTGTGTGGGCAACAGACCTGCCAGCTCTCATCCTCAGTTCTTTGCTTACCTTTTCCTCCTAGGAATCCAAAGATCCTCGTGGAATGCCTCACCCCAGACTTCCGAGGAGATCTGAGAGCGGTAGAGAAGGTGGCTCTGTCTGGATTAGATGTGTATGCACACAACGTGGAGACTGTTCCAGAATTACAGAGGTGATTGCACGTTAGTGGTCACAGCATGCTGGGAACTCTCACTTCAAAGCCGCTCCTTCCTCCTCTCCCCTTCCTTCCCTTCCTCTCTCGATCCTTTCATTCTGCTCTTTCTTCACAAGTTAGTAGGAAGTCAGAAAAGATAGCCGCCAAGAGTGAGTGACCAAGGGCTAGAGCGGGCTCAGTGACAGAGCACACATGCTTTCCAGAGTTCCTGCTCTGCTTTGGTCACCTGTTACTCCTGCTGCGGGGTGGTTCACTGACACCTGCACTCATGTGCACACTCCCACACAGCCACACACATATGCACGTAATCTAAAAGAAAAGTCTTTTTAAAATATTCAAACGTTACTCATATGTTTCTAGCCAGTCATGTCAGTATTGTGTTTAAACCTGTAAATACATATGCTGATGTGCTAGGACTGCTAATGCTGACAATGTTTGAGGGACACATAGTGAGTTGAGCATCTTCTTTGACGTTCTCTCAAGGCACCGCAGACGCAGCTCTAAAGGCAGCCTCACAGCAGATGTATTGAATTGTGTTTTTTTCCAAAGAATACTTATGAAATGGGAAATTATACAGCAGGAAAATGGCTTGTTTTAAATCTTCTAAAAAGTAGACAGGATGACTGTCGATGACCCTGCCCTATAATTCCAGACCTTACCGAGGCAAGAGATCAAAAGTTTGGGAACCAGCCTGGGCTATACTTTAAAAAAAAAAAAAAAAAAAAAAAAGCCGGGCGGTGGTGGCACACGCCTTTAATCCCAGCACTTGGGAGGCAGAGGCAGGCGGATTTCTGAGTTCAAGGCCAGCCTGGTCTACAGAGTGAGTTCCAGGACAGCCAGGGCTACACAGAGAAACCCTGTCTTGAAAAGCCCAAAAAAAAAAAAAGGAATTATGAAGAACTGTTATTCTACATAATGAGTATATTCAGATTTCAGAAAACTTAAGACATATTTTAACTGTAGACAAGATTAATATTTTCCTTTAACTTTATCGGGTATTTGGCTGTGATTTAATTAGCTACTCTTTACTGCTCTGTGTCTCAAATCACAAGAAGTTACAGTGAATGGTACCAAGCACATCGGTCCTGGATTGCAAGCATTCCAGAGCACAGCTGTAATCCAGTGGGGAAATACATGGAGAACACTTTGTAAAAAATAATTCTGGGCTGGGTAGACCACTCAGCGGGTGCAGTGCGAGTTGGTGAGGCAGATGACATGGGTTCAATCCCTGGAACCCACAGGCTGGAAGGAGAGAACTAATTCCAGCAAGCTGTCCTTGGTGTCCACGGGTGCCACTGTGAGCATTCACACGCATGCGCACGCACACATACACACAGAGTGAGTAAACAATAAAAACAGATGTTCGAAGTGTATCTTGCTAAGTGTAGTGGCACACAGCTGTCATCCTAGCCCAGCACATGTGTGTACCCATGTACAAGTCAGGAGGCTGAGGTGAGGGGCTTTCCAGTCCAGGGCCAACAGGGCTGGCATGACTATCTCATGAAGGGACAACTTTCTATACTGTCAGTTTTATGACTTTTTAAAATTGCTGGGGTTTTTTTGTTTTGTTTTTTCGAGACAGGGTTTCTCTGTGTAGCCTTGGCTGTCCTGGAACTCACTCTGTAGACCAGGCTGGCCTCTAACTCAGAAATCCGCCTGCCTCTGTCTCCCAAGTGCTGGGATTAAAGGCGTGCGCCACCACCACCACCCCCTCACCCCACCCCCGGCTAAAATTGCTGTTTTTTTTAACTTGCATTTATGTGTGCGAGTATGCACGTGTGCAAGGACACAGACATCTATGTACAAGTCAAAGATAGCTTATTGGTCGTTGGTTTTCTCCTCGTATATAGGTGTATTGCCTGTGTACTGTGTGCATGCAGAGCCCCTGGAAGATAGAGGCCAGAAGATGACGTTAGTCTCCTGGGACTAGTTGTTAACCCTTTGTGGTACTGGAAATTGAACCTGAGTCCTCTGTAATAGCAGCCGGTTTCTGAACCACTGACCCATCTCTTCAAACCCCTGCCTTTTATTTAAATTAAAACAAAATAAAAGTATAGAACACAGGCTGCTTCAGCCAAGTGCTGACCTTATATTAGTTACTTCCAGCCCTTTGCCTTTCTTCTCATTTAACCATAGTGGTTTGGCCAGTGTTGAAGGGTAGACCCGGCCTGTACCAACCCTTTGGTGATGTTGCCTGCAGTGGGTGCCAGTCTCTCTGGTTTCACTTCTGAAAGATTATCTTCCCAGTGAAAATTCCAGAATGCTTTTCCTCTGAGCCTGCAGTGTTATTACTCGCCAGCAGAGGGCAGTCCAACCTGCAGGAAAGAAATGCTCATAAAAGTTTCAACCCCAAAAGTGAACGTTCCTTCTTTAGAGGTTTGTCTTGTCTTCTGCCCGGTTTCTTTTCTTGCTAGAAGCCATTATAATTTTGAGTTTCAGAATTCTAATCTCTCAGTGTATAAACCGAGTAATTTCTAGTATGGTTTTCTCTGTCTCAAGACTTGGGAGGCCTGAAGAGTTGATAGACCTAGGAAGCCCAGTGAAGACTGGTTTTCTTTTCAGTGTTAGTAAACTTTGTACACAAATGTACTATTGACATATATGCTCAGTGAACCATATATTTTAGAGTGGTGGTCCTCAACCTTCCTAATGACGAAACCCTTTAATACAGTTCCTCATCTTGTAGGGACCACTAACTATAATGTTACAAGTGTGATTTTGCTACAGTTATGAGTAGTAATGTAAATTCTGGTGGGTTTTGATGGACTTGGGCAACCCTGTGAAAGGTTGGGAAGCACTCTTTTTTTTTTTTTTTTTTTGGTTTTTCAAGACAGGGTTTCTCTGTGTAGCCCTGGCTGTCCTGGAACTCACTCTGTAGACCAGGCTGGCCTCGAACTCAGAAATCCACCTGCCTCTGCCTCCCAAGTGCTGGGATTAAAGGCGTGCGGCCGCCGCCGCCACCACCACCACCCACCCGGCCGGGAAGCACTCTCCTAGAATGTGCTTTCTGGTCCTCCAGCTTGCTTGTATAGCAGTGTAGTTGGTTGAACTTGTTTTGTCACTGACAGTCACCTTGTTTTCCAGGAAAGTTCGTGATCCCCGGGCCAATTTTGACCAGTCTCTTCGTGTATTGAAACACGCCAAGGAGGTCCAGCCCGATGTTGTTTCCAAAACATCAATAATGCTGGGCCTCGGTGAGACGGATGAGCAAGTCTATGCCACGATGAAAGGTAAAGAAGCTGAAAAACAAGCCCTCTCCGTTTCCCTGGAGTGGCAGAGGCTCCATTCTAAGGAACCTGTTAGTTTATGCCTCCTCCGCAGGCGTGAGTGCCGGTGACCCCGAGAACAGCACCTAGAGCTGCAGGGGTGGGCCAGCGGCAGCATCCCCGCCTCCATGTCCAGAAGTAGAAAGGACATGGGTGCAAACAGCAACATGCGAGGGAAGGAAGCCTTCTTAGATCATTTCTGCCACTGGCTGGGTTGAGAGGAAGTTAGCTACCAGGCGTTGGTAGATAAGCAAGACTCTGAAGCCATGGCTGTAGCTTAGCGGTAGGTGTTTGTCTACCAAGTACAACTGACAGAGGAGGATTCTGGTACATCACAGGTCAAGTCGTACTCGGAGAACACAACCTGCTCACCAAGGAAAACCCTAATACAGCATGTTTGGCTCAGATGAATGCTTTTTGCTTCAGAATAGTTGTTCCTTTGCCTTTTTTTCCACTCCCAATTCAGTTAGAGTTGGAGTTATTAAGAAAAGACTTTAGGGCTGGTGAGATGGCTCAGCTGTTAAAGGCTAGGTTCACAACCAAAGAGATAAGAGTTCAGTCCTAGCAACAATGGCTATCTCTCCAGCCATCAAGAAAAAAGAAAAAGAAAAAAAAGATTTTAATGTAGGCCTAAGCATGGAGATGACTAGAGACACAGTAAAGGAAAGATAACATACCTCCAGGCTTGGCCATGGCTTCTCTAGGGTCATCTCCCTCCATCTTTTATGCCTAACCGACTTCCTGCTCTAGATCATCTCCTATTTTAGCTTTTATCTGATAGCATTAAATTTGTCCCGTCCCCCCCCACCCCCCGCCCAGTGTTCTTCTAGCTCTCCTGGAACTTTGTCTGAGCTTGAACTCAGAGATCTGCCTACATCTGCCTCACAAGTGCTGGATTAAAGGCGTGCGTCACCAGGTCCAGCCCTATATTTCCCCTCTGTCTCCTAGTTTCACACTACTGCAGTTATCATTGCTGTGGTTCCAATCCTCATCGGAGCCCATGGCTCAATGTTTTTGAATGAATGGGTTTTCTCCCATCTTGTATTGCCTATGACAGTTACAGCCCACAGCGTGCAAGCCCTCCTCACAGGACCTGTGCTTACATCTGTAATTGTAACTGAGCACCTGCTAAGTGGAATCTTTGCTTTTCCCCCCTTTCAGCTCTCCGTGCAGCCGATGTGGACTGTTTAACTCTAGGGCAGTATATGCAGCCAACAAAGCGCCACCTTAAGGTACAAACGTCTTGAGTTGCCAAATCTTTTCTTAGTAATTTGAAGTAAATCTTTATTGTCCACAGGTGGAAATTAGAAACCACTAGCTTTGTGGGATAATGTCCTGTGTATGTAGAAGTTTCCGTCTTATTGTCACATAGAGCAGTGGTGCTGGTACTTACTGTTACACAAACTGCTCCAGAGTTAAGAGTTGGGCCATAGTACTTCCTGGCATTTGGTGGTCCTGCGACTTGGTTACAGTTGCCTGAAAGACAAAGCTGACTGAAGAGAAGGAAGGCAGTTTTCTGTTTCTATGATGGAGAACATTGTATCGGGTAGTATCCGTGTGCTACAGCAAGCTCTTTGAGACTAGCTTGTGAGAGGCCCGGGTTCAACCTCTAGTAGTGCCAAACAAACAAAAATAAAACCTGCCAGGATTAGTGCTAAACATAGCATACAAGACAGATTAATTGGTCTTGTCCTCAGGCATCTTATACGAGGTCTTGGAGTGATGTTAAAGTGCTTGCAGATTGAGGTCAAGTCCCAGAACACACTTTTTATTTTATCTTAAGACATGGAGGAGTATGGTTATAATCCCAGCACAGGGGAGATGGAAACAGGTAGATCCTGGGGCTCACTGGCCAGCCAGCCTGATCTCCTTAAGAGTCCCAGGCCACTGAGGGGCCCTGTAGGAAAAGAAGGTGAAAAATGTCTGAGAACAACTTCCAACAATGTCTCTGGCTATACACGTGTACATAAGCACCTACGAAAGTGTGCATGCGCACACATGGACATATGCACACACAGAACCTTACAGGCATGACCAAGTCTGCCTTCTATTAATAATAAAGAACAAATATAAATGATCTCTATATTCTTGGGGTATTTTTTTACCCTTTGGAACAGCTAATGTAGTACAAAGTGCTATTTCTTCCTCTCTAACTCTCCGGTGGTTATGCTCTGATAGAATCCAGCAAATAATCCAACGAAAGAGAGGGAAGGAGTCTGGATAAATAATGAGCCATTCCAGATACATGGTATAGACTTTATATAGAATCAGATTACTAAGAATTCTGGAGTCTGATCTAAAGTGATTATTTACATCAAGGTTGAAGAATATGTTACTCCTGAGAAGTTCAAATACTGGGAAAAAGTAGGAAATGAACTTGGATTTCACTATACAGCAAGTGGCCCTCTGGTGCGATCTTCATATAAAGCAGGTAGGTTGACTGCAGGGGGTGGCTCCACTTAGTCCATTAATTCCCCACAGTTGCGTTCCATCCCAAAGCACTAGAGCCCTAAAGCAAGTTACAATGGCTGTGGTTGTCTCTTACCAGGGGAATAAAACGAGGTCTTCTTTTCCTAGAATGTCTCTCATAGCTTTGCTCCATTGGGTCATATTTAAAAGCTTCTCTTTAGCTTCATTTGTTTCTCGTACACGTCCTCACTGTTCTTGAGATCTCAGCCATTTGACAAGAACACAAACCGTTTGCATAGTCGGTTATTCCATGTGTGACTTTCAGTAGCAGATCTCCCAGAAACAACAGAGCATACAGCACATGTGATACAGTTTTCTAGAAAATGTATATTCATCTGACGGTGGTGCCAGCCGCATCTCCGTGCTGCCAATTCCAGATCCATGTAAGCATTGGAAGCCCATAGCATTGCCTCTTGCACAGTTAATCTTGTTGATCCTTTGACATAAAAGGGAAAACTAATCATTTCATCCCTAAACAACTTTTTAGTGGTTTTACTAACTTAATATATTTTTTTTACTTTTGGTATGTAGCTCTTGCTTTGGTCAGCTGACTGAGCTGATTATGAAAGTAAAGACATTTTCCAAGAGATTAAAAAGTTCTTTGAGCTAGGAATGTCATTCAGTGGTCGAGCTCATGCCGAGCATGCTGTAGGCCCCAGGTTCAGTTCTCAGCAGCACAGGGGAGAGTAGGAAAGAAGTCAGGTAGTCGGGCTGCAGCGGCAGCATTCAGGAGGACGGAAGAGGAAGCTGTTCCCCGTTAGTTAAGGGTACGAAGTTGGGATTGGTAAACTAGGTGTTTGGGATATCTACAAAATATGTTAATATTATAAATGGTCATTTAAGGGATTTCTGTGTGCACTGAGATCTGAGTCACAGATATAAGTTAGGATTTTGTGTAGAAAAAAAAATCAACCTTCTCTTGTCGATGATACTCAGTATGGCTGTCAGGGAATCTAAGGGAATTCGGCGTGGTGGTGTGTGCCCGTGTGCCTATCGGCTGCGAGGAGGAGGTCAGATCACCTCAGCTACCTCAGTGGTGACGTCAAGACCTGCTTCGGCTCCATGAGACTCTTGGGTGGTTTTTTTTTTTTTTAAAAAAAAAACAAAAACAGGAAAAGAAAATAAATTTAAGATATTCTCATGAACAGTTTATCCTAGTTATAAAAGCCAAGAATTTGAACTCTCTGTTGTTTCTTAAATAGTAATAAAAAAAGCATGAAGTTGGGGTGTATGGGAGGAGTTAGGGGACAGAGTAGAGGAGAATACGATCAAAATATATATTCATGTTTGAGATTCTTAAAATTAATAAAAATTCCAGGAATTTGGTTCAGCACTGATTAACAGGCTGTGAATTAGAAGTGAGAGTTAAGCAGGATAGCTGGCAGGTTGGAAGTACATAAATACAGTACATACATATACAATACATACATACATACATATATAATATACACATACATATAATACATACAATACATGCATATATATACATACACACAAATACAACATATACATACAATACATACATACATACATACATACATAGGCTAGAACCAGTATTAGCTTCTAGAAGTGAGTACCTAGAGTAATATTTATTTTATTTTTTATCTTTTCTTTTTTGTGGTGGGTGATTTTTAATTTCTTTATTTGTTTAGAGACACAGTCTCACTGTATAGTCTTTGCTGACCTGGAACTCATCATGTAGGTCAGACTGGCCTCAAACTCACAAAGCTTTGCCTGCCCGTGCCTGCCTGTGCCTGTCTCCAAGGCCTGAGATTAAAGGCTTGAACAGCCGTGTGCAGCATAAAGTAATATTTAAGAGGAAATTTCCAACATTTGAAAGGAGTGAATTATGATCTTTTAGTGTTTTTAAAGTCACTTCTAAAAGATAGAATCCTGGTGTGTCGAGCATTGGGGCTCAGATGGTGGGCTCCTGGTGACCATTGTTCTGTGTCTACCAGATTCAGACGAAGGACTGAGCAGTACAGACAAGAGGCTCAGGATCCTTGGAGATGAATGGATGATGGTTGCACTCTGATTGTACTTGTAAGATGACAGAGAGGAGGTGACCCACTCCTCATGAGATGAAGCCTCTGGGGTGCGCTGCAGCAGGAGCGCTGCGCTATCTGAAGCCACACGAGTGAAGCCTAATGGGCTGGAAGGGAGCGTTCTGTGAGCACGCTAGCTCAGACTCCACTCCACATATTTACAGAAGCCCATTATAGAAGGAGAGCTCTGGCTTCCCTGGAGGGGAATCAGGGGGAGAGAGATTCCATCAGATGAGTGCTCAGCTGCAGGGCGGTCTGTCTGCTTTATAAGCATCAGATCCCGGCTAATGATGGTGGAACTACTTTCTGAAACGACTTTGTCAGCGGCGAGGAATAAGCCTTCACAGTGGGAAGAGCACGCAGAAGCAGGCCCACGGGCTCAGTGAGCCATCTTGCAGAACACTTGGGTACTGGAAGGAATAATAGTTGAGAGTGTAGAGATGAAACAATCCTTTTTGGTCCCTGAGCTGGCCTGTGCTGTTACAGAGCGAGGAAAGGGCAGGGGAGATGTGGTAATACATTACAATCTCAAAAATTAAAAAATTAAAACAATCAGGGAATGCCAAAGATAAGGAATACTTAGATTATAAATGCTGCCTTTGAGACCTGACAGGAGGGAAGTACCAGTAAATATAAGTGTGCTTTGTGAGGGGCGGGGTTCTGAGACAGCAGCTTGTTGCTGCTTACCTTAGGATGATATTAATGTATTCTTTTTTTTTTTTTCCTAAACAGGTGAATTTTTCCTGAAAAATCTAGTGGCTAAAAGAAAAACAAAAGCTTCTAAAATTTAGCCAAGACCTTCAAGATCACAGGAGTGTTAAGATTTTGCTTCCAGTTGGTGTGAGGGCGGTGCCATCTTGTCAGGATTCCTGTGCATGCAAACCAGCACCATTCGGAAATGTCTGATGTCTGATCCAGGCATGATAATGGTATATACCTGTAATTCCACCCAGGCCATCCTGCCTTCTGAGTAAGACCCAGTCTCAAAAAAAAAAAAAGGAAAGAAAAAGAGAAAGAAAAAGAGAAGGAAGGAAGAAGCCCGTAACCCTGTAAGCGGCACATTTAGTAGTAATTCATTTGACTCCTTGCCGACCTATTTTGTCCCCATCTTTGTCAGTGATGATATGATCGTCTCTGAACGGTTTGCTGTTGCCATTGTAATTTAAAAGTGTCTGTTCTAGCATGTAGAAGATCTTAAAACCACAATAACCCATATGACATTTCTTTTCTTAAAAAGATTTATTTATGTGTGTGTGTGTGTATGTGTGTATGTGTGTATGTGTGTGTGTGTATGTGTGTATGTGTGTGTATGTGTGTGTATGTGTGTGTGTGTGTGTATGTGTGTGTGTGTGTGTGTGTGTAGTTAGAGGAACATACATACGGATTCCATGACACATAATAAATAATCTTTTAAAAACCCTCCATAGATAAGTCAGCACCCCAGTGTGGAGCTAGGAAGGGCTCGACAGCTCCCGGTCATGTCAGTGCTGAGGAGGGAGTCGGTGTTCTTTAAGGGTGTGGCCTCTGTGTTGACCCATGCTCTAGAGCAGTGGTTTTCACCCTTCTTAACGCTGAGACCCTTTAATACAGATCCTCAAGTGGTGCCGACCCCCAACCAGGAAAAGTTTTTTTTGTTGCTACTTATAACTGTAATTGTGCTGCTGTTCATGAGTTGTAATGTAAATATGTGATATGCAGGATAAGCGGCCCCAGGGGTCACGGCCCACAGGTTGAGGAGCAGTGCCCCAGTGGCTGGCTCAGCACCCATGAGGAGAAGCCTAAATGCTAGGCTGCTTCCCACTCTCTGGAGTCTAGGGATAGAGATGATTAGAGAGTTGTTGAGCTAGACCCATAGCTGATTCCGGCCAGTGCTCCCCTCGCTCTCCCTTTGGGGTAGAGCCTCTGTGGTCCTGATGGGAACTTCCTCCTGCAGGGACATCAACCAGCATTCCAGGAATCCCATTCCCATGCACTCAGTGCTGTCCACAACTGTCCCAAAGCCTCCGGGCCGGCACGGGCTCCTTCCTACTCTGTTTTATTGGATTACACAGCCCTTACTGGTACCTCATGCTGTCCTCAATTATGATGGGTTCCTTACAAAGAGCAGAACATACATGTGTGCACAGGGTAAAACATGATGGTATACACTTGCACCTCAGCAGTTGCATGGAAGATTGCTGTGAGTTGAAGGCCAGTCTGGGTCAAAGCCCTTTATTATCTGTCCTTCCAAACTGGATGTGGACTTTTTGTTGTTGAGACAGGGTCTCATGCAGCCCAGGCTAGCCTCCGACCAGCTGTGTAGTAAAAGATGACTCTGGATGTCCTAGCTCTGTCCCTGAGTGCTGTGATTATAGGCCTGCAACACTTGCAGGCCAGGCATACACTCGTAAACTCAGCCCTTAGGAGGCAGAAGGAGAAGAATACACAGTTTGAGGCCCGTCTAGATTGCAGCAAAGCCACCCAAAGTCACCTTCCTTACCTGCTGCAAGCAAAATTCTATCCCTCATGATCCTCTTCAGCTCCAGACCAAAAACCAGCCTTTATTTTCCTGTCTGTGTCTCACTGTGTAGCAAAGGTTATCCCGGAACTCACGTCTGTAGTCTAGGCTGTCCTGGGACTCGTGGCATCTGCCTGCTCTGTCTCCCAAGTGCCCACTGTACAGGGAGGAGCCACTCCACTCGGCCTCACGCCTCTTTTTGTTGTTGTTAAATTTTAAAATAAGATCTACTTTGTAAAACTACTTGTATGTGTGTTATCTTCCATAATTAGTGGTGTCTGTGTGTGAGTACCCGTGTAGGCCAGAGTACTGGAGCCAACCGAGCTGCAGCCCTGGCCCCATAGCCTTTTTGTTGATTTATTTTAAAATCTTACATGACATTATCCATGTTACATGCTTTACGATATAGCCACATAAAATCTCCTTTGTAAGACACAAAATAAACAAAGACAGGATTCTGAGTCAAAGATAAATTTGAGCTTTATTATTTTAGAACTTTCCCAGGTCATGGCTGTCCATACCTGCCTCTTCGTGCTAGTGGTCTCTTAATAAAAATCTACTTCCGATATTAGAGTGTTCTCAGCAGCAAAGAAAAAAATCTCTTCAAACAGGTTCTATTAATTATGGGCATTTACACCACCAAACAGGAAGTGGGTGTCGTAAATGATTTCGTGGTTCAAGGAAGCCACTAGAAACAATCAGTCTTCAACTCCTCTTTTACATTTTAAAAAAGTTTTTAGCCGGGCAGTGGTGGCGCATGCCTTTAATCACAGCACTTGGGATTAAAGTTCTCCCTCCACCATGTGATTCCAACGGAATTCAACTCAGGTCCGACTTGGTGGCAAGTGGCTTTTTTACCCACTTGGCCACCTTACTGGCCCCACACTTTCTTTTTAAAACCGTGGTCTTTAATTCATACAGTAAAGGACAAAAGAGTCTCAAATTGCTGTACCCATGTATATGTTCTTCCCCATCATAAACAGCAAATTTCCAAGGCTCTGTCTTTGGCCCATTTTCTTCCATTTTCATTTTTTCTACCTTTTGAACTATAGCTGTATTCCACAATTACTTTTCCACTCTACGCAGACACTTCCTGCAATTAAAAAGGAGTACCTAATTTTTTTTTTTTGAGATAGGGCTTCTCTGTGTGGTCCTGGCTGACCTGGAACTCACTTTATAGACTGGGATTTAAGGTGTGTGGCACTTTTGCCTGGTGTAGGAGTGCCTAATCTTAACTGATTTAGCAAGACTAAAATCTGTCTGTGTGTTTATAATCCTATTGACAAATATACAGAACAACTAATCCATGAATCAATTCTCAGGAGTCTTACAAATAAGGGTTAATCCTTAAACCAACATGAGATGTCTGCAAAGCTTTTCTGAGGGGCCAAAAAGCCAATGGTTTTTATGTTTTGTAAGCCATGAGACAAAATTGAGGCTATTGTGTAGGAAATTCTGTAAGCATTTAAACTGTAACTATGGGGGCTGGAGGGTGACGCAGTGGTTCCATTCCCAACACCCACATCGTGGCTTACACAGCTGTCCACAAGCCTAGGCCCAGGGGCTCTGACCTCTTCAATTTCTGTTTTTACTTAATCACACAAGTTCTAAAGGATGAGACATGTATTTAACAGTTTGTATATCCTCAGTGCATAAAATGGAAATAGGACTTCATCAACCCAAGTGAAAACAGTCACTGCAAATAATTCATCAAGAGACAGAAAATAGAGGGCTGTAGATATGTCTCAGCCATTAAAACCACTTACTGCTCTTGCAGAGGACCAGGGTTCAGTTCTCAGTACCCACATGATGGTTTACAGCCATCAATAACTCCAGTGCCAAGGAGTCTGAAGCCAAAAATAACTAAACATACAAAATGTCTAATGTAAATGGAAAGGCACACAAAAATTCTTTAGATGTATACTGGGCTAGTAAGGTGGCTCAAGGGCTAAGAGTGCCCACCACTAAACCTGCCATGGTTCAACCCTCGGGACTCACACTGTGGAATGACAGAACAGAAACCCCAGAGTTTCTTCTGACCTACACACACAGAAAAAAAGACAGATAGATGTAATAAGTGTTTTGAGAAATGCTGAGATGGCTGAGTGGGTGAAGGTGCTTGCTGCAAAGCTGACCACCTGAGTTCAAAGTCCAGGACCCACATGGAAGGAGAGAGCTGAGCACCCTTAGTGGTGGTGACCTCTGACCTGTACACGCCCCGCATCCCCTCCAAATAAATAAATGAACAGAATGAAAAGAAGATATACGTAAATTGGAGACTCTTTCCAGTTTACACATGAGATTTTATTGGTTTTCTTTGCTTAAAGAAAAAAATTTGAATTGTAATAGAAATAAAAAAATCAAAATAAAGGTAACAAACATTTCTTGACTCATAGGTGCAAATGTGACAAGCAGCTACAGAGGCTAAGAAACAGAACAAAACAGACCATACTACTGATTTTCTCCTCAGGTTAAATTTTCCAAAAAAAGAAAGCCCTGCTCAAGTTAATTGTACAGAGAAATGCAGATCTTTTGGGGGAAACAATTAAAACTACTAATGACATAATCTCATTAAAACAAAAGGCCAGAGAACTTTAACCAGCCCATGCCTGCACAGTGATTTCATGGCTTCAAAGTCCCATTTAATGAGAAGCAGACAGACAACACAGGACAACAAGACTGCCTTTCCCTCATATTATTAAAGTGCAGTCTGGACAATCTGTAATGCTAAAAAGTTCAAGGTTTTTTTATTTTACAAAAACAGACATTTGAACCAACATGATTGTTTTCCATCCATTCAATAACCGAAAGGACAATAATATAAAAATATGTAAAAATTATTCTAGACTCATAATTACTAGATATTCTAACACCCATATAGCTAGTATAAATTTGATGATTATAAAAATATTTTTGTTTCCTTAAAAACATGTAGTTCATTTACCATTTAGTATCAGACAGATGCTGGCTACCCTGAAGTACCAAATCATCACAGGTAAAAGGGTAATGTCTAGACTTTGGGTTTCTTGTTTGGTGGATCCTGAAGACTAAACTTTGGAATTTCACCAGGAGTGTATGGAATTCTCTTGGAAGATACCTTTTTGCCAATTGTTTCAATCTGAAGAGGGAAAAAAAGATATAGAATTATTAACCACAGCACATGTATGTAAGAGCTCTATACTGCAGGGATAAGAGAAGATGAGGAGAAACCTTTTCAAGTTCTCTGAGTTGCTGAGAGATCTTTGGCTCCTTTAGTTTTTGATGTTTCTAGAATCAAGTGCCACCCCACTTTGCTGGCTTGATTTTGTTGGGATTTATAGAGACAGGGTCTTGCTATGAGTGCTGGCCTCTTAACTCACAGCACCTCTTGCTTCTGCCTCCCAAGTGCTGGAGTCACAGGCATGAACCAGTACCTGCAATCACCAAGTTAAAAAAGACAAGCGCCGGGCAATGGTGGCACACGCCTTTAATCCCAGCACTTGGGAGGCAGAGGCAGGCGGATTTCTGAGTTCGAGGCCAGCCTGGTCTACAGAGTGAATTCCAGGACAGCCAGGGCTACACAGAGAAACCCTGTCTCAGGGGAAAAAAAAAAAAAGACACAAGCCACCTCACCTTTTATGGATCCGGGTACTCTGTCTGCATGTTCACCTGCTTGAACACTAGAGGGGCTCAGACAGTTGTGAGCTACCATATCTTCTTTTTTGGTGACAGGTTTTCTCTGGCTATTCTGGAACTCACTATGTAGACCAGGCTTGTGCGCGCGCGCGTGTGTGTGTGAGTGTGTCTGTGTGTGTGTGTTTTGCCTATACATGCACATATTAGGAACTGAAGTCAGGGCCTTCTGAAGAGCAGTGAGTGCTCTCAAAGTCCGAGCCACCTCTCCAGTCCCACACAACCCCTTACTGGTGTAATTTTATCTCCTCTGTAGTAGATATAAACTACTCTATTTCTATATCTCGTTTGAATTGAAAATTAATTCTTCCATTCTGACTCATACTACAAAGGATGCCTGCTTTATTTAGAATAGTCTATTTTCTTACCAAATGACTTACATACTCTCCCTTACTTAGTGTTCCCATTTCCTATTTTATTTTATTTTTGAGGCAGGGTATGAAGTCCAGGCAGGCCTGGAACTACCTATGCAGATGAAGATGACCTTGAACTCCTGGTCATCCTGCATCTACCTCTCAAGTGCACAGTTATAGAAGAGTGCTACCAAACCCAGCTGAATGAAATTTTAAAAAGTCCTACGAGGGGAAGTTAAATTTTCTAAGGACTCAAAATAATTTATTATATATATGCTAACACCCATAGAGCTAGTATAAATTTGATGATTACAAAAATATTTTTATTTTCTTAAAAACATGTAGTTTATTTACCATTTAGTATCAGACAGACACTGGCTACCCTGAAGTACCAAATCATCACAGGTAAAAGGGTAATGTCTAGACTACACACACACACACACACACACACACACACACACACACACAC